AGATTAGAAAAGAGTAATTTAGAGTAATAAAACTAGTATAATCTTAAATTCTCGATAGAGAAAAGTACGTATATAGCGTTAATCTAACGAGATCTTCGTTAAATCTAATATATAACGTTATTTCGTAGATATTATAGAGTTTATATTCTAGAGGTATTTTTTCTATAATAAAAAGAATTCTTATTATATCTAGAACATTAAGATCGCTATAAAAAAAAGAAATATATTAAGAATCTCGTTAAAATTAATATTATTCTAAAATCTAACGTTAAATAAGTTTAGAAATTTAAAATCGATATAAAATATATAAATCTTTAAAATTCTTCTAATAAGAAGCTTATATAAAACTTTATTATTAAGATTAAAAAAGTTATTATTAAGAGAAAAAAGAAGAAAATTAATTAACATCGCTATTAGAAAAAGATATATACGCCTATAAAGGTTGCCATCGAAAGTTCTAAATATTAAAGTTAGAGCTTTAAAACCCTTAACATTCTTAGTAAATATCTTAAATATCTTAAATATTAATGCTTTACATAGTAGCGACATTAATGCTATATATATAGAGTATATGTATATAAAGTACATAGTAGCGATATTACTGCATATATACGGGGTATGCAGTTGCGATATTACTGTGTGCACAGTAGCGATAGCAGCGCAATGCTGTGCATACTTGCGCTGACAAGGGCATTATGAGAAATAGGGAATAGGGGGAGAACATGAAGCTTTTCAGTATATATTCAGTGTGTATCTAGTGCAGTAAGTGGACATCTTCCCACTACTCTCCAATCTTGAACAATGCCTAATGCTTAGAGTATCAAGACTACAGGCACTCGCTTTGACCGAAGCTGGAATTAGATGAAGCGACGTACGACTCGAAACGATGCACCTAAGACTCGAAAGGAGGCCGAAAAGCGATAGGCCTATTGCTGGAAGCATGAATTATTATAGAAGAGAATTTAGGAGTGGATAGAGCGTATGTCTAGATATATTATTGAAGTTATTCGTTTACGAGGCGGTAACGAATATTAAAAGAGCTATAAAGAAGGGGATGAGCGGCCCTATAATTTAGCTGATCGAGCAAATTAGTATATATATAATTATATAAAATATTATATATAGATTATAAAGCTATTTAAGAAATTTATTAAAATGCTAGAAATGCTAAGAATGTTAAGGGTTTTAGCGTATATTTAGGACTTTCCGTAGTAACCTTCGTATATTTCTTATATTTCTTCTTTTTATCAGATATAAATTCTTATTTTAAAGCTTTAAAAGTTTATTTAGAAATATAAATAAGAAAGACTTAATATAATAATTATAGAAGATAAAGCCTCGATATATATATTAAAGTATTAAGAAGCGATATTTATATTATTTAATATTATTAGAATAATTTAATACGATAACTCTTTAAATCTTAATATAATTAAGTCTTATTAGCTATAAATAAAACGTCGTATTACTTAAAAAGATATATTAAGAACTTATAAGAAAGTCGAATAATAGTAACTATATTATTAAAAGTATAAGTTTATTTAAAAGAGAATTTAGAAGTAAATAAAGCGAATATCGAGATATATTATAAAGATAATATATCTTAAAAATAATAACGAGTATAGAAAAGATCGTAAGAGAGATAATATACGATTATATAACTTCGCTAAGCGAGCTAATAAGTATATATATAATTATATAAACTATTATTATTAAATAAATATAACTATATAGAAATATTAAGAATATTAAGAGTATTAAGTATTTTAGCGCTATCTAGAACTTTTAATATCGATCTTTATATATCTATTCTTTTAATAAGAGAGATATAAAAGAGCGAGATTTTAATAGTTATAAACTCTAATTTATTTACTCGCGATAATTTAGTCGATCTAATTAAAAAGCGTAGCGAATTTAAATTTATAATTAGCTATATATATAAATTTAATTTTTTTTAACTTAACTCTATCTTATTCTATTATATATATTAATATATTATCTTATAATATATATTATTAAGATCTCGAATTTATATTAATAAAAAGATATAATATTTAATTCTATTTATATTATACTCGAGTACGATATAATATTATTTAATATAAAATATTCTATAGAATATATTATTTCTTTTTAACTAGTAATCTTAAATTAAAGATTAACTCGATAAGACTTTATTATATATAACGATTCGATATAGAGATCTTAAGATTATTTATAAGTAACTTCGATTTATAATTAATAATCGTTATAAGAAATTTCTTTAAAGAAATTATAGTTATAATCTTAATAAAGTAAACGACTTTATATAAATAATATATTCGAGTTACGAGAATAACCACTTCGATAGAAGCTCTCGAAGGGTTCTCGAAGAGCTTTCGAAGGGTAGAGGGGTTTAGAGAATCTCCTCTTACGGAGGTCGGCATTAAAAGTCCTAGACATGCCAAGATAAGGGTCTAGGTAGGGCTGAGTGCTTAGTATACTTCCAAATTTCATGAATAGCATTATTATTCTTTATTTTAATAAGTACTAGTACTCTATATAATAGCGACGCTATATATATATACGAAGTGTATATATACGAAGTATATATATGCGAAGTATATATATAATAGCGATATTAATAAGATATATAATAGCGATAGTATTAAAGTATTAATTATAGCGTAGAGGAATAAAGGAAGAGTATAAAGACTTCTAGTATATAAGTCTTATTTATATAATATAATAGATAGAAATCTTCTTATTATTCTCTATCTTAATTATCTTTTATTAATATATCTAATATTTAGAGTATTAATTATAATAATAAAACTTAAATTTAAATACTTACTTTAATTGAGACTAAGATTACTATCTAAATTATTACTATAATTATCGAAATATCTCGTTAAATTATTAATCGACTTTAGAAATAAGCTCGTAATAGAGAATACGATTTTACTATATCTAAAAAGCTCTTAATATTATACGTTATAAATAAGCTTAGATTTAAATATCCTCTAATTATTACATTTATACTTAAGAGTATAATTCTAGATATCGTATAAAAAAACCGCTATAGCTGTGAAAAGACTTCTTTTATACTTATTACTAAATAAGAAATCTTATTTATAATAATATTACGAGTACTTAGATATAATAATTTTCGAGTCTATAAAACTATTAAAAAATCGTCTCTTATAGAAGTTATAATATATCTGTAAATCTAAAAAGTAAATTTTCGTACGATTTCCGCCGAGTTCGTATTATAAGTACGATTTAGTCTATTAAGTAAACTTTATCTATATCTAATTCTTTCCGCCAATTCTATTAATTTAGTAACTTTAAAATTTTTACGTAATATACTCTAATATACTCTAAGTACTATTCTATATATATATAATATTAATATATATTATTATTAATATACGTATTATTATACGCTATATTAGAGTATTATCTACGTAATTAATTTTATTAAATCGTCTAATTTTATAGCTAAATTTAAGTTAACGTTAATATTTATTATCGTAAAATCTTATTATTATAACGTCGATTATTAGAACTTTTCTTTTTTTATATATATTACTACTAAACTAATAGAACTAGTAAAAAAGATTAAGATAGTTACTAAATCGACGGAATTTAGACGAATTCTAATTAGATTTACTAATCTAGCGAATTTTATAATTTCCGCGATATACGCGCGATCAGCAATTTCAAATTTTATAGAAACTTTTCAGATTTGCAGATGTAAAAGTACGTTATTAATTCGCTTTACGATATAAGAATTAAATTATAGAAAACTAAAAAAGAGTAATTTAAAGTAATAAGATTAATATAATCTTAAATTCTCGATAGAAAAGAGTGCGTATATAGCGTTAATCTAACGAGATCTTCGTTAAATCTAATATATAACGTCGTTTCGTAAATGCTATAAAGTTTATATTCTAAGAATATTTTTCTTATAATAAAAAGAGTCTTTATTATATTTAAAAAGTCGAGATCGCTATTAAAAAGAAGGAGTATATCGAGAATCTCGCTAAAATTAATATTATTTTAAAATCTAATATTAAATAAGCTTAGAAACTTAAGATCGATATAAGATATATAAGCCTTCGAAATTCTTCTAATAAGAAGCCTATATAAAACTTTACTACTAAGATTAAGAAAGTTATTATTAAAGAAAAGAAGAGGGGAATTAATTAGTATCGCTATTAGAAAAGATATATATTCTTATATTTCTTATATTTCTTCTTCTTATTAAATATAAATTCTTATTTTAAAGCTTCTAAAGTTCGCTTAGAAGTATAAACGAGAAAGACTTAATATAATAATTATAAAAGATAAAGCCTCGATATACGTATTAAAGTATTAAGAAGCGATATTTATATTATTTAATATCGTTAGAATAGTTTAATACGATAACTCTTCGAATCTTAATATAATTAAGTCTTATTAACTATAGATAAAACGTCGTATTATTTAAAAAGATATATTAAGAATTTATAAGAAAGTCGAAAGACGATAACTATATTATTAAAATTACGAGCTTATTTAAAAGAGGATTTAGAAGTAAATAAAGCGAATATCGAGATATATTATAAAGATAATACGTCTTAAAGATAATAACGAGTATAGGAAAAGTCGTAAGAAAGATAATATACGATTATACGACTCCGTCGAGCGAGCTAATAAGTATATACGTAATTATATAAAGTATTATCGTTGAATAAATATAATTATATAGAAGTGCTAAGAATATCAAGAGTGCCAAGTATTTTAGCGCTGTCTAGGACTTTTGGTGCCGACCTCCGTAATTGTATTGATACTATATAGTAGTAATCTTCTCGATCTTCTCACATCCTCGGTAAGCTTTCCACTACTGGGTAGCCCCGCGCCCTAGCACATATTTAGGTTAGCGGCGGACGGGTAAGGCCACTGGTGTCGCGTAGAATTTTTTGTGTAAAAACTGAGTAGCCTCCGCTCCCCCATCGAATCTATCGAATGCCTGAAGAATGGCAAGACTGAATACTCAAACTTCCGTTACGGAACGCCAAAGAAGTTCATCACCACAGCGCACAGGATATAACACGCGCTCTGCCCCTACCACGACCGCCCCATACTTGATAGCACCAGATGTTACCACAGCTCTGCAACGAATCCGCGGCGAATCCGGTAATGCAACCACCAAGAGGAAGCGTGGTCGGCCACCTCGGGACAAGGGTGAAGTTCAGCCAAACAAAAAAGGCAAACTCTCATGCGCACTCATCAATGACTCCGCAAGTGCCTCCCAAACTTCGAGGCATACGCCATTATATGAGGACCGCAGCGGATCGAGCCCGGTGAGGGAACATACTAATCCCGCGAATGAAGCGGGCGCCGGCACTGATCAAGAGAGCGCTAGTTTTCATCAACAGACTGAGAGGGATAATGTTAAAGGTAGAGAGCAAAACGGTGAAGCAAGCAATAAAGAGCTTGTAGAAGGCTGTGGGGAAGCTGTGGAGATTGGTGAAGAGATTGACTGCAAAGACGCGGATGATAAAGATCAGGATTTGGAGGGAGATAATGAACAAGCTTCCACAGTAAGTTTCCGTATCTGACCATTGTTATCCGCCCTCGAACTTTATACTTACCCTTATTATAAGAACATGAGTGTGGAATACGGTCGAGGACGTCTACCTGACTTGGAGGTTGATTCTGAACCTGACTTGTCAGGCCTTCTACCAAGTCCAGCACAAGGAGGTCCCTCATCTCCACCAGCTTTTCTGTCTCCCAATGCCCGCTTGGAACCACTTCATCCGCGAGTCTCATCTACAGATGCAGAAGCGAATCCTTCGCCCCGCAAGCCGATTACGCGCATTCCAGAAACAATATTGACCACTGATAACGGCAAGCCTCAAACAGACACCGAGCGCATTAAAAATCAGGTGCTGGTGCCACAGAAGATTCAAGCACCAGAGACTTCCGTGCCAGGCTCCCAAAGCCACTGTCGAGAAAAGCCGTCCCAGGAGATCGAAAAGACGGAAGTTTCGGCCAGCGACATGCCAATCGAACTGGATGGGGCGAACGATGCCATCTCGGATACAGCCAAACAGGGAACAGGCTATGACTCTAGCCTGGCAGTGTCTGCCGACATACGGAAAGCAGCACTGTCGACTCTCCGACCAGGCGCAATGGTTTCGTCAACAGCGATGGTAGAAGTTTGGAACTGTGTGAGATCGGAGGGTGACTTTGTTTTTGATCCATTGTTCTTCAGTGACGACTCCGTGAAGAGGTACACCCTTAGGCACAAGGCTATGGGTACCAAGGGAAATATTTTTGTACCCATCCATTCCTCGAAGCGGAACCATTGGTATCTAGCCGTCATAGCTACACAGAGTTCTTCGATCTCTGTGTACGACTCATTGGCTAGTGACAACAAAAGTATATCCGTCGACTCGGGGCCACTCATTACGTTGGCGGCAAGCTTGGTTCCCGAGCGAACAGACTGGAGCGTTCGCATGGCAGATTGTCCCCAGCAACCCAACGGTCACGACTGCGGCATATATGTTATAGCCAACACCTGCTGCTTAATGGCGCAACTTCCTCTACCGGAGAAATATGATGGCGACGCCTGGAGGTTAGTGTGTCAATGTCTCTTTCAGGGCTCCAGAGACAACATCGCCTTCGCACAATTGTCAAGTCTTCAGTACAAAGGCACGGGCATCAATTCGATAACATGCTCTCTGAAGGCGGACAGCTTGGACGATGTAATCCCTTACGTTTCGCAAGAGGCTTTCCAGAACGCAAAGCTATGTATCGATACCATGCAAACGCAACAGAAGGATCCACAGTCTTCTTTTGCTTTGATCCGCAACATTCTATCTGTAATTCGGACTTTGCACCAGAACGCTTGTCGACACAGCGATTCCCTGGGGGACCAAATCCAAAGGGAGGCAATTGGGCTGGAGAATCATCTCAAAATGTTAGAGGAATACTCCTCTTTCGTGTCTGTATCCGTCGAGCCCCAAGACTTCTCGCCCGAGACACAGACCGCGCTTTCTTACATACATACGGCGCACCAAACATTAACGAAGAAACACGCGAAATCCGGAACAAGCCTCGAGACTTCGGAGAGAAACAAGGCGCGGATGGGAATTGCAATCTCGATGCTCCAGGAAATGGAAACGATCCTGTGTACGCAAGCAAAGAGCAAAGAACAAAACCTCCGTTCACGCATCGGGAGTTGGCGAGAAGGATTTGATACGGCGAGACGGAACCTGGAACAGCTTCTAGCAGGGGCTTTTAAGTAAGCTCAATAGGGCAGTAGAATATCACTTTCGCTTGCCACGCCGTTTATGTATGTAGGTGTTGGTTCTCGCCTTAGATGTACCCGCGGTCCCTATATCGCTCTCCATCTCAGTGTCAATGTCGACTTGATTTGCGACTAGGGGTTGTCTACGTCTAAGAGCGTGCAAACGCTTTTCAAATTGAGTATTTACGGCTTATTGTGTGCTCTCACATTATGTCCATTTCATTCGTATTTTGTTGTGGTCTATATAAGACCTTTCATTCTGCTGCACTGCACTTGATAGAGTCTGAGTACCGAGTCTACTATTAAAACCGCCTGCACTTCCCGGTCTGATGGCTCGCTTAAATGGCTGGCTGAATAGCTCAATCCAAGGCGATTGGCGACGTATTTGCAATCAGAACTTTTTACCCAATTGGAACTGGCTCCGTTTTGGCCAGGAGGAATCTACAGCAACATCAACCACATGTACCTCTTGAAAACCTTCTGTATCTGATCCACCTTATCTCCGCCCCAGTCTTTTGCTCCGCTCGATACCTCGTTGGTTTGATCCACGTGTCTTTTCAACCCTGTAGTTTTCCACTCATGCTTCATGTAAGGTGTGGCCTCAGGGGCTTGTTCAAAGATAGACGTGGGGCGTCGAAGGCTCATCAGCCATCTGAGCCATACATGAACACGTTGGTAGATAGGTAGATAGGCCGGAGTGGTAATCTTTGGATTTTGATATCTTGTGTTGAAGAATTGAACGATTGAATTCTGACTTGCTCAGCGAAAAGGTCGGATTTGGTGCCTTTGTAGCAGGCTTACTCTGTTGGCTGCTGTGTTGCTTGCTTGCTTGCGTTAAGTAGTATTAGAGACAGACATGACAAGTAACTAGTAGTGGTGGTGGGATCCTTGCTCGCTCCACCAACGAGATACGACCTAAGCAGCACCCCGTGAATAGGATCGCTTATCAGGAAGGATAGCGCTTATTGTGTGAAGCTCTCCAGTTGAGACCTGGACTGGATATGGTATGGCTAGCCAACATTAAGAATGAAAGCTATGAACAAGCCGTTCTCCTGCTGCACCAAGCCAGAAACGGCTGCATAAACACGACACGAAATCGTACCTGTCCCACTCAACTTCTCCCCCTGCTTACGACAGCTTTACTACTCCTTACGAAGATAGCTTCTTCCCCACGCACATTCACCTCCAGCGACGCTCTCGTAACTTGGAATTATGAGTATCCGGGGAAAGGTTAACAATCTATGCTATTGGATCTTCTACAAGAAACCACTCTTGATGAACAGACATGTGATACTGAGATAGCCTTGCGTCAACAAGTCTCAAAGATGGAAGAGATACGCCCGGGTATTCTCACAGATGCAATGCTGAGTAGTCTGCGTAAGTCGCACGTACTGTCAGGTCTAATATTTATCACGATAAGCTTACATACCGTTTCGGAACAGACAAGGTTATCGCAATAGTCTCGGACCTCTGTCCTCAGTTCGAAGACTTTTCTCTTGTCTTCTATATGGAAAAAGACATAATGAACCACGCATTTGGTGCCTACGTTGAGGCGTATGCGATAACTATCACCAGATCTAATTATATGGACTTATCTCCTTCGTCGCTCTTGATCTTCCCCACGTGGAGTCATACTATAAGATTCATTAACCAATATGTTCTGATTCCCTTTCTACCAGAACCTAGGCTCTACAGCCTACAGGTCAAGTCCGAAATCCGCTTTCAGATGAAACAACTCATCGATGAATCTACGGTAGCTTTGAATAGGATTAATATCAGTAGCGAGGTTTGATAACAGTTTTTATAGCATTTTACATATTCTAGAGAGGTAATTATATATATTCGAAAGTATTCGATATCTAATAATACTCGATTTTAAATTCGATAAGTTCGACGTAATATTAAAATATCTATCTTTTATTAAAATTCTATAATAACTCGATATAAAATAATAAATAATATTAAACTTTTACTCTTAATAGTATTAATATATCTAAAAATTTAATTTATTATTTTTTAAGTTTTAATAATCTATTAATTCGTAAAAAATAATAATACTATCTTTTCTTCTATTATATCTTATTTTATTATTTCTTCTTCTATTATATCTTCTTTAATTATATTCTTACTACTTTTTATCTCTTTTATCTCTTTTATCTCTTTTATCTCTTTTATCTCTTTTATCTCTTTTATCTCTTTTATCTTTTATCTCTTTTAGTCTTTTATCTTCTTTAGAGTCTTTTATCTTCTTTAGAGTCTTTTATCTTCTTTAGAGTCTTTTATCTTCTTTAGAGTCTTCTTAATACTCCCGTAAGAGCTATTACTAATAATATCTCTTTCTTTAAAAAACTTATTCTCGAGCTTAAAAAGATAGTATAAAGATAGTAATATTTTATTATTATAGCGAAGAATATTTTAAAATTAAAATATTAAATATTTCGATAAGTATTATCAGCGATATTAAATATATATTTATTATCTACTTTAATAATTAATAATATTAAAATTATATAAGTTATATAACTTAATATTAAAAAGCGCTTATTAAATTCTTTTTAATATTTAATAATATTTTTAATAAGATAAAATATTATTTACTATTAATTTAAAGATTAATATTTAGAATAATATTTAGAATAATACTTTATCTTTTAATTTATATTAATTAAACTCGTTAAAAAGTAATATTAAATTATTATTATTATAAGATATATTTAAATAAATATCTAAATCTTAAAAACGATTATATCGCTATTTTATAAAATTAATAAATTAAAATATTATTTAAATAGAATCTTTATTATATTTATCGAAATTCTCTCTAAAAGTATTCTAATAAAATTTATTCTAATTTATTATCTCTTATTAAAAGTAAAAGATTTTATTTTTTATTTTAAAATCTAATAATATAGCTTTATTATAAAGATATTTAATAAAAGATTAAATTCGTTTATAATATTTAAAAAGCTTATCTTATACTATATTTAGAGATTTATATATTATAATTTTCTATAATATATACTTCTTTTTAAATTAATTTTTAATATTCTTTAAATAATTAAAGAATTTATTATAAATTTTAAAGATTTAATATATAATTAATTTTTTTATTATATTAATTAATATATATATAATAGAATAAGATAGAATTAAATTAGAAAATCTTAAATTTATATATATAGTTAATTATAAATTTATTAGATCTACGCTTTTTAATTAGATACCGCGGGTAAATAAATTAATATTTATAATTATTAAAAATCTATATATAAAAGTCTTATACTTTAAAATAATTAGCTCTCTAAAAATATTATTACTTTATAATTTCGTAAATTATAGAGCTTAATTTACGCTTTCTAACGATATAAAAATAATAAAGTTTAATCTATTATTAATAAATTAAATAAATATTTAAATATAATAATTATATTAGACGCGTCTAAGATCGAATAATAATTCTTTTATCTATTTATATAACTATCCTTCTTTTATTATTCTATTAATTTACTAATATAAATATATTTATTCTCGATACCCCTCGCGGAAAAATTACTAAACGCTTTAGATATATATATTTCTTTTATCTACCTCTTAAAGCTTTTATTAATATTCTTAAGCTACTTTTTAACGAATTCGCTATTACTAGTAATCGAGGTTGTAATAAAATCTAATAGCTATCTACTAGAGAGAAGAAGTAAAAAAAGAAACTATAATAGATAAATGCGGAGAATACTATAAAGAAATTAAGCGGTAATAAGACTATTATCGTTAAGAATACGGTTTAGCTCTCTAAGATTTTATATTATATTAATTATTTACTTAGTTAACTACTTAACTAGTTACTTAATCTAATATTTTATAAAAAAAGAAGTAAGAGAAGAAATTATAATAGATAAATACGAAGAATATTGCGAAGAAACTAAGCGGTAATAAAACTATTATTATTAAGAATACGATTTAGCTCTCTAAGATTCTATATTATATTAGTTATTTACTTAATTAATTATTTAACTAGTTACTTAATCTAATATTTAATAAAAAAAGAAGTAAGAGAAGGAATTATAATAGATAAATATGGAGAATATTATAGAGAAATTAAGCGATAATAAGGCTATTATCGTTAGAAAGACGACTTAGCTCTTTAAGATCTTACGTTATATACTCTCTATAATTTTATATTAAATTATTACTTAATAAGCGAAGAATATTATTATAACTTAATTTATTATCTCTATTATATTAATATAATATATTACTATAATAACGTTATAAGAGAAGAATCTATTACGATAATTATAGCTAATTAAGTCTCTATAGAAGAAATATCGAATAATATATATTTAAACGAATTAAAATCGTTCGATATCTTACTTTAATAGCTATTTTATTATTTAAAAGATTTTACTACGATAGAAGATAATATAAGATTTATATTACTAATTATATTACTAATTAATATATTATCTTTATTTCTTTCTAATATTTCGATACTTCTTACTATAAGAATATAATCTTTCTCTATTTTTTATAAGTAATTATTATAAATTAATTCTTTATACTCGATATATCTTTCTAATTAGATCTTAGCGTATCTCTCTTTATATATATATATTTATATATTATATAGATTAAATTAATTTTATAGTAGTAAAAGTAGATTAAAAACGTATAGTAAGCGATTAGAGTTCGATTTAACTTAGAATTAGAGCTAAAATTCGATTTAATTTAAAAGAATCTAACTCTATAAATTTAATTTATAAATCTTTACTTATTTATTATATAAAGATATAAAATAACTTAATAATATTAATTAAACATTTAATTTATAATTATTCTAAATTATTAAATTAAAAATAGAGTATTTAAATTTATAGAAAACTCTTTAAATTTAATTTTAATTAATAATATTATATAAATATATATAATATAAAATTTTATCTTATTTTTATATTCTAAAAGACTTTAAATATCTTTAAGATATTAAGTTTCTTTTTTTTAAAAGTGCTATAGAATTAATAGTTTAACTTAATCTTCTCTTACTTAAGTTTTTTCTTCTAAATATTATTAAAAAAAATTTAAAATAAATTAAAGTTAATAAAGATAATAATCTTTTAAATTTATAATATAATATTTAATTAATAATTAGAATTAATTATAAAAATAATTAGAAATCTTATTTTCGCTAATATTAATAAGATATTTAGATTTATCTTTTTTCGAACTTCGTTAAAGTTTATACTCTTATTTTATATAGTCTAAAATTTCTTATTTATTAAAATAATTTAATTTTATTAAATAAATTTTTAATTATTAGCTAAATAATATAAGCTAGATATAAAAAATAATTAAATTTTATTATAATAAAATTATACTAAATATTAATTTATAAAATACTATTCTTAAATATCTTTTTTAAATATTTTAATATACTTATAACTATAATCTTATTATTAAAAATACTATTAATAATAATCGCCGAGATTAAATATTTAATTTTATAAATTTAAACTTCTTTTATATAATAGCGATAAGTTTTTTATTAATATAAAAATTCGAAATATATTAAAAGACTAAAAGAACTTCGTAAAGATTTTATTTAAGATTAATAAAATACGCGTTAATAGCGAGATAGCTTTATTTATTCTTAAAAAATTAATTATCGTAAAATAATTTTTTTTTAAATATTATTTTATAAAAAGATATTTAAAAGTTTAAGATAAATCTCTTAATATTAAATTAGAATTTTTATTTTTATTAGAACTTAATAATTATATAATAAAATCGAGATAAAGATATAATCTCTATAATATAATATTATTAATATAATAAAATAAAAGTTATAGAGATATAATAGCTTAAATAAATTAATTATTTTAATTATCTCGATATATTAAAATCGTATATTATTATTAATTTTTAAGATTAAATATTTATTTTATATTTAATTAGCGTAATTCTAATTACTTTTCTAAATATTATTATTTACACTTTATTAATAATCTTTTTATTTTTTTAAAGCTTTTAATTCTTTTACTATCGCTAATTTTAAATATTATTTTATTTATAAATAATCTAAAAAGTTTATTATTTTATTATTTATTAATAGATATTAAATAGTATAATAATCTCTCTAATATACTATTTTTAACTTTTCTTTCATCTTTATAATAATCTTAATATAATAATCTTATATAATTATAAACTTAAGAGTCTTTTATAAAAAAAAATTTAGATTATCTTTTTTTAGATTATCTATATATTACTTAGTAATTCTTTATTATTTAAAAAATATTTTTTTATTTAAAATTCTAAATATATAGTAAGTTTTATTTTTATTCTATATTTTAAAATTAATTATATCTATAAAAGTATAAATAACTTTATCTATATTAAAGAGTTCTATAAAATTAAATATAATTTAATTATTTTAAAAAAAAGATTAATTTTTAAATATTTTAATTTTAAAGAAAGCGAAGATCGCTATTTTAATAATATAAAAATAAATAATATAATAAAAATAATTTATAAAGTAGAATATAATAAGAAATAAAATAATTTATATAATAAAAATAATTAAGAATATAAATAATTTAGAAAGTTTATTATATTCGATATTATTTAATAATTATAATAATTATTAATTAAATAATCTTTATATAGCGATTTATTTTCTTACTTATTCTCTTACTTATTCTCTTATTTATTCTTTTAAAAATTATAAATTATTTTATTTAAGCGTTAATATTTAAATTAATTATTCTAATTTTTTAATTAGTTATTTTATTTTTTTTT